CTCCAGACAAACAGAACTAACAGAATGTGTGAATGTGTGTGTGTGTGTGTGTGTGTGTGTGTGTGTCTGTGTGAGCATGGAGGAAGAGACAGAGAGATAGACACAGAGACAGGGATTTAGTTTTATGAATTGGCTCATGCAATTTCTGAACCCAAAGACTCCAAAATCTTCAGAGCAGACCAGCAGGGGCTTGAGACCCAAAAAGACCCAAAGCTGAAGCTCCAGTCTGAAGGTAATCTCTTGCAGAATTCCTTCCTTCTTGTGTATTGGAAGTCGGTCTTTAGTCTACTCAAACCTTCAGCTGATTGGATGAGGTCCACCCTCATCAAGGAAGGCAATTTGTTTTACTAAAAAATTGACCAATTTAAATGTTATTCTCAGAAGAAAAAAAAAACCTCAGAAATACTAGAAGAGTGACTGACAAAAATACCTGCACAATATTGCCCAGCCAAGTTGACACAGACAATTAATCTCCCAGCCACTAAGTGTCACTATGCATCTGCTTCAGTCTTGGTTAGTACAGGGAGTACACAGCAGCTCTGTTGCAGGGCTTGAGGAAATCACAACACTGAAAACAGAACACACACTGAACACATGAAAAAAGAGAACACTGAAAGGAGCCAGTAAGGACAGTGAAAACAGAGTTCAACTTTTACATCAGACATTGTTTTCCAGACATTTTCTTCTACTAAAATATAATTTCAAAGTCATTTGGGGTAACAATTTGGAGAACTAAACAAACTTGACACTGCAAGGATTCCAGTTGGTGACAGTGAAGCTGAATCATCAACTTGATTGGCTTTGGAGCCATGTAGAGGAGTAATAAGTCATGCTTCTGGGTGCGTCTGGGTGGCTTACAGAGGCATGACTGTGGCTACTATATCTGGTCCTGGATCCCTTCCTCTCCAGCGCTTTCCTCTGCTTCCTGCCACCATGAGCTAAGCAGTTTTGCTCTGCCATGCCCTTCTGTCTTGATTGGCTTGGGAGCCAGCCAATCATAGATTGAAATTGAAACCATAAATCAAATCAGACTTCTCCAACTTTAAATTGTGGGTGCTGGATATTTGGTCCTAGCCATGGGAAAGTTGTCTAATATACAGGCTGTTGGCCCTAGATCTACTTAGCTTCCTGAATTTTTCAAGTATAAAAATAAAATGCTACCAGATTCTTACTCATATATAAATTACTTCAAAGACACTTTAAAGGCAAATTAATATTTTTAGGTTATTTCAGGACTGTAAAGGGTAAATCTATCCTCCATAGTTCAGGATATTTTATTGACACTTCTTTTTCTACCTACAAATGAATTATCTGCTTCTAATGGTTGAGCCTCATGATTATGTTCATCAATAGCATATTTATTAGAGCAAATTTATTTAAATACAGTTTTGTTGTAACTACAAAATGCTTAAAAGATGTGTAAACAGACCCAGTGTCATCAATGGAACTAAAGCACTAAAACTGGTCTACTCCCACGCAGAGGATTGCTCTCACAGCAGCATTCATCCATCAGTGTTCTCCCCTGAGAAAACTGCAACTGATCCAAAGCCACCTTGGTTCATTCTATATTCACTCAGCAAACACGCAATGTGTATCTCAAATATGCTAAATATTGCTCAAGAGGTTGGGAGCAAAATGACATGGAGTGTGAACCTTTAGCATGAACAAAATGTAGTGTGGCATCCAGATAATTCCTTAGGAATCCAAAAAGATTAGGTCACAGTCAAGAATCATTCACTTTCCAGACTGGACTGAATCCACTGTGCCAACTAAGTCAAGCTCCATAGTGATTTCTTCTGCCAAACATTTACAGAACCAACTTAATTTCCAAAGTCCTCAAGCCCAGGGAGACTCAGAATCTACACAAGCCCTCCCTCCAAAGCCAGAGTCAGAATTAAGAAGGTGACAAAGACTGTGTCTACATATTAAATTCACTCTCAGATGACGTCCTGTATTTGCATTTGGTCCACGAGGAGTTGATAAGTTCATGAGAAAACAAAAAGGTGGAGTATTGGAATATTTCTCTCATGACTTACTTTTTGCATTAATGGTTAATACTATTTCTAATGCTATTTCTTTTGTTACTCTTAATCTTAAAGCTTTATAAGCACTTTTGAGTTTTCTATTCATTGCCTTTTAAATAACTTTGTCATGATGTTTGCTTGTGTAAACATGTAGGACTGTGGTTTTGGGTCTCAGGCCCCTTCTCTGTCTTAGGTTGAGTGCTCTCTAAAGACAAAGACGTGGGTACAGGTAGTTTATTTAGGAATTGATCTCAAGAAGCTCAGATTGAGAGCAAGAGGGACACAGGACACAGAAAAAGCAATGACTGATGTGCTACTGAGCAGACCAGTGCCATGGGCAATGGAGGCATGATCCCACCAGGGACTCTGAGTTGTAAGTTAGGTAGAATCACTTCACAGACGGCTCACTGAGAGGCAAGGACATGGGGTACTTTCCCCTAGCTCTTTCCTAGTGATACAAGGTCACCTCTGAGGGCATTAAATGCTGAACTTCCCAAGCCAACTTATAGACAGCTTTAATTAAATATCTCCTTAAGCCCCAAAGAGCCCATGGCAGGAATACAGGAGCCAAGTCCCTGGCTGGCCCTCAGCCCAAAGTCCCTGGCTGGCCCTCAGGTTGGGCTGAGTGAGAGGTTCGGGAAGTATCTGCCACTCACACTATCACTCAGCAAAAGCCAGCGGCTGCAAACAGCTCAGCCTTTGGTCCACAGGCCTACACGACTGTGTCAGCTGTCCTCCTCCATCCCAGAAAGCAGGCCTTCTTCCCCAGGGATCCGCAGGACAACGGGGGCAAGGATGTCTCCTCTCCTGGAAAGCAAACATTCCACTCTTTGGAGGTTTCTGGAAGGGTTGGATTGCTTATTTTGCCTCTGTATATTTCCGCTTCTAACAGGTCAGAAGCAATATTCTTGAAGACATTATGAGTTGTATGAAAATCTCAAAATTCTTCTGGTGACTGTCCTGTTGCCCAGGATTGCTCCGCAGGATTTCTGTGTTGGACTTGTCTCATTCTTACCCAAGAGCCGGCTTTTCTCACCCTCTGGGCTGCCTTGATTTCAGGGGACCATGGGGACCACACCACACCCTGGGGGAAGGAGCAGGAAGGTGAAACGGATCCACAGAGTCAGACAGCCCTGCATTTTGAAGGAAGACTATGATGGGCGCACAGTTTCATGGCACTGCCTTCCTGTTTCACAGGGGACACCCCGCCAGGAGTTCAGGGACCAGCCAATGTCGATGGACTCCAATGACACTGTTTCAACAACGTGGCATCCCCATTTCATTTTAAATGTGAAAACAAACTCATAATACTTGGTCAGACAACATGAAAGTTTCCTATAAGACACTCTTTTCATATTTTATAGCCTAAAAGTCATGAATAATGCATAATTGAATGCAATAAAACAATCCCAGAAAAAGCCAGGCTCTAGTCAACTGTAGAACCATCTTATATGTGCCATTTTGTGAGGATGAAAGTGCCCCCTTGAGCCTGAATCCTGAAGGTAATGTTTTAAGAAAGTAACAACGAATAGCAATTAATTCAAAAGGAGACAGAAAACAGCCCCTAGCAACCAAATAAGCACAAACTGACTGCAGTGTGTTAGAACAAATTTCAATCTTCAGTATGTAAGGAAAAGTGATTTAGTTATAAGAAGTTAGTAATCTCTATTTTATTTTCCAACTAGTAACGAAACTCACACTGTCCTAAGGTCCTGATGTTACTCTTAAATTATAAAAAGTAGCCTCACGTATACATTCTTATGGATAATTCCAGTAAGAGGAAGAAATTAGATCTGACCAGTGGGACATAAAATACAAATCTTACAAGACAAAACATGCTTTATGGAACACATTTGGCTCCTACATAACAGAGGAAAGAAATGTCTTCACCCTGACATAATTTATATTGCTTCCACTGTTCCTGGATTTTTAAGACTATTTTCTACAGTATTCTATATTTCATAAAACCACAAAAGCTATGAATGTGTTCTTTTTAATGACCACTTATTGACACTCATCTTATTTTATTAAAGAAAAACTAATAGCACTGTCCTCAGCAAGGCTGAAAATGAAGCAGTTTATTCACTGAAACCTCACATTGTCCAAGGTAGGCACAATCATTTCATTTTATAGGTGAGGAAACTGAGGCAGGGATCAGCATGTTTCAGGGGGCCACACAGTGAGTAAGCTGTGTGCTCAGGCACAGACTGAGGCAGGCTGACTCAAGGGCACCAACAACCTCTTAGAGCAACCCCTACAGGCACTCTAGCAGCCAGGAAGTGGGTAGACACAGAGCCTGCATGGATATGCATGCTGAGACTAATGTCAGTCAGCAACAAACAGATTACTAATTGTTCTTATGTTGATGTTTTCTTAATTTAACAGTTATTTACTTGTTTGTTTATTTATTTATTTTGGGGGGTACTGGAAATTGAACTCAGGACCTTGCACTTGCCAGTCAGGTGTTTATGCCTCTGAGCTATGTCCCAGGCCCTAATTTAATAGTCTTAATTAGGGATTTTTTCAGCATATCAAAAGAAGTCTTTTTTAATGAATGTTTTTTTTTTTCTTTTTATCGGTATTGGGGATTGAACTCACAACTGCCTGCTTACAAGGCAGGTGCTTATGCCACTGAGCTAAATCCCCAGCCCCTGAATTTCTTTAAAATAGTTTTGGAGGGAAAGAAAGGGAACCTGGCAAAGGTTATGTTCTAAATAGATAATTCTGATGGATTAAAATTTGCAGAACTAATACAAAATGACTATGCTTTCAAAACTGATATATAGATTTAACACAACCCTAACAAAATACCAACAGCATGCCCGCAGGTCTAGAGAAAACAATCCAAAAATTCATATGGAAAGAGAAGAGATGCAGAAAAACCAAAGCACGGCTTGGTAACGAGCAAAGTAGGCAGCATCACAATCCCAGGTTTGAATTCACATCACAAAACTATAATGATAAAAACAGCATAGCATGACCCTGAATCAAAGCCAGCAGTTTTCTGAAGCTGTTGGTTTCAAGCAGAAGCCTAAAGTGGTATCTTTCTATAGCCTATTGGCCATTTCAGAACTTCAGAAATGAGTTGCTAGAAGTTGCTAGAATTCAGAAATTAAGTTGCTAGAAGACAGAATAGATAAACTCTTGAAAATACAGGCATAGGCAAGAACTTTCTGCACAGAACCCCAATAGCATAAGAAATAACACCGAAAATCAACAAATGAGATCACATCTAATTAAAAAGCTTCATTAAAGGAAATAATCAATGTGTGAAGAAACAACCTAAAGAATGGAAAAAAAGCTTTGCCAGAATGGGAAAAAGCTAACATCTGGGATACATAAAGAACTCAAAGAAAAATGAGACTCCCAAAATAAAAGATCCAATAAATAAAATGGTCAACCAAAATGAATAGATCCTTCTCCAAAGAGAACGGTGGTCAATAATACATGAAAAAATGTTCAACATCTCTGGTCACTAGAGAAATGCAAATTAAAACAATGCTGGGGTACCATCTTACTCCAGAAAGAATGATTATCATCAAGAAATCAAATAATAATAAATGCTTGTGAGGCTGTAGGAGGAAAAGGAATAATTCTACATTGTTGGTAAGAATGTAAACTAGTACATTGGTAGGGCAGTATGGGGATTCCTTAAAAAAAAAAAACTAAAAACAGAAATTCCATTTGACCCAACAACTCCCCTTCCAGGGTACTTTCTGAAAGAATTAGTCATTTTAATACAAGGAAACATGCATATCCATGTTCATAGCAGCACAGTTTTTACAAGCTAAATCTTGGAAACACCCCTTTTACCCATCAATAGATGAATTTATAAACTAAATGTTGTATTTATATACAATGTAATACTACTCTGCCATAAAGAAGGATAAACTTGGGGCATTTGTAGGTGAATGGATGCAATTTGCATCTATAATGTTCAGTGAAATAAATCAGACACACCAATTTAAATATCATATTGTTTCTCTTACATGAGAAACCCAAATTATAAATAAAGAACAAAATAAAGGACAGATAAAAGGAAGTAGACAGATCTTTTTCAAACAGGAAAGAGAACGAAAGATGGGTGGAAGAGGAGGGAAGGAGACAAAATGGATTTCAAAAAGAACTGAAGAAAAAAATAAAAATTCAACTTTTTCAAATGAAAAAGGAAACAAGAGCTAAAAGGAACAGGGAGGGACGAGACAGGAGAGGGACACAAAGACTTGAATGTGATCCTTTACCAAAAACAGAATTGAGATGTGTTGTGAACATGTACCAACTTCCCCACAGGAAGAGTAATCACTATATACTGTAAATGCATACTAATAAAAGTGAAATATTAATAAAAACTGTCTTAACTACAGAAACTGTCAGTTAAAATGACACAGGGAGTAACTTCAGATCATTATAGTTAAAACACACAGAATAGAGGTCAGCTATTGTATGGCTAAGACTAATTCATAGTTGAAGTTGGGATCATAGAGTCTTTGGACCCGTCAAGGATCTCTGTGATTTAGAAGCAGATTGAAGGTGGAAAATATTTTCAGGAGAGGCCTAATTTAGCACAATATATATGGGTTAAAGAGGTTGAGAGCCCTTCCATCAGAAAACTATGCTAAGCAAAATAAAAATAATGCATTCATTCTAAGGAATCCCAAAGCCATTCCATTTCCAGATTGTGGGATCTGCTCCTTTATAAGCTTTCTTTCAAGCAGTTCTCCTTACATGGATCCTCCCTGTGTGCAGTGGTAGCCAGCACACAGCAGTCATTAGTACAGCATTAGCATTAGTTCCAGCACGGGTAGTGACAACACTAGCCTACGGCTTCAGACAGTGGGTGGGAAAGTGTCCTCTGTTCCAGTGTCTCCCACTTTACCAGATGTCACTGGCCAAGTCCGTTCTGCCCCCACAGGCAGTCCTAGTAGGGCTCAAGCAGGAGACCCAGGTACAAGAACAAAGCAGACCGGAATACTACTGAATGGTCTCTGAAAACTAATTATGATTGAAATCATAGCCCACAAAAGGAGTCTGGAGCCAGGCGTGGTGGCTCATGCCTGTAATGCCAGCACCTGGGAGGCTGAGGCAGGAAGATTATTGCAAATTCGAGACTAGCTTGGGCCACAAAGTGAGCCCAAAGCCAACCTGAACTGCATAGTGAGACCCTGTCTCAAAAAGACAAAAAAATAAAAAATAAAAAAAGCAGGCCAGGACCTACACATAAATCCTGCTATTTTGGTTGTCTGGGTTCATAGAGACAGTATTTCCAGGAAAGAGATGCAGTAAAGTATCTCTGCCACATCTACCTTCATTGCTGTGCTCTTCATAACAGCCAAAAGCTGGAAGCAGCCAAGCGTCTATCAGTGGATAAATGGACAAACCGTGGTCCATACATACAAAGGAATGTTATTCAGCCTTAAATAAGAAGGAAATTCCTGGCACATGCCCAGCATGGATATCATGCTAAACAAAATGTCAGTCACGAAAAGAAATATTGTATGATTCCACTTCTTAAGGGTCTTCGAGTCATCAGCTCACAGGAAGTAGAATGGTGGTTGCCAGGGGCTGGGCAGCGAGGGGACTGGGGATTAATAGATACAGACTTTTAGTTTTGCAGGTGGAAAAGATCCAAAGAATTCTAGAAGTGAGGATGCCTGCAAAACAATGCCAATGTATTTAATGCTACTGGACAGTAAATTTTAAAATGATTAAAATGGGCAGACTATGCGGGGCCCAGGAAAAGAAAAGCCAGTTCTCTTTTCCTGTGAGTCACCAGAGGCCACGCTGGGTCTGGGAGGACAACACCAAAAAGCTAGTTCAATCTTCCCGTAAGCTGCACAGACTAGGCAGGGCCCAGGAAGAGAGAAACCAGGTTGCCTTTCCTGTGAACTGACCAGCACATGGGCTAAGAATGAAGACACCCACCTCCTACCCCCTCCTCCTACCTCCCCAGTAAGCAAACAGCTGTTTCGGAGACAGGCTGAGTTGATAGCAACCAAGGTACAAAAACAACTACATGTTTGTATTGTTTGATTGACCTCGTAGGACTAAGACCGGTAGTCTGAGCATCCATCAGGAAGATGATAGCATGCAATACAGCAAATAGGGGGGATTTTCTTCTGTCCTTTTTTGAAATCCAATATTGTTCTCACTGTTTTGTTTTGTTCAATTTATTGTTGTTTTCTTCAATGCTCTGTTTTGGTTGGTTTTATTCTGCTTTGTTTTAGTTGATTTCACGAGGTCTGAGAGAATGGACGGCTGCTGTGAAGATGACAAGGTATATTACGGTGCCATTGTTGGTGACCTATTGTCCTGTCTTGAAGTTCTGCACCACTTTCACTGCTTTGTTTAGGTTAGCTTCATTCTGTTTTGAACTGTTGGGTTTTATTCTCTTTAAAATTAAAAAAAAATCCAATTGGATACTTTTGGTGCAGACAGCAAGAAGGGAAAGCACACAGAAAGGGTCAGCGGTCTTGGGAGGAGCTTCGTCTTCCCTGAGTTCCTGGCGGTCACACCCCCTTCCCACAGGCCCCACCAAGGTGAAGGACTGGAAGTTAAACAAGTCTTGGAAAGGATGGCTTGAGCCCAGAATGTGGCAATTCCATGGGAAACTTGTAACTAAGTTCATAGGAAACATTTACCATGCATTACTAAACACAAAACACTACTGCTTAAAAATGATGAAAATGATCCTCTTCTGCTGTATGCATTAGACCACAGTGGAGGGAGGGGGAGGTAGAGGAGGGGAGAAGAGAGGAAGTAGAAAGAACTGAGATGTGTTACACACATTACCAGCCTCCCACAATGAATGTAATCATTACCTACTGCAAACACGTCTTAATTAAATTTAAATTTAAAAATGAATCGTTGCCCATAAAGCATTGGCAACTATTTTTACCCTTAGTTAACTGACAAGCATGGAGATCTGCATCGTGACAGGCACTGTTCTGCCTATTTGAAGGTAGGCAAATAGTAACATCAAAAAACTGATGTCACAGGTTGGATAATGATTAGTAAATTAAACCTGAAGCTTGTTTCTTACAAAAAGTACTGTTAAAAAAGAAATCACCACAGAAACATTGACCCGAAGCAATGCTCCTACTTCACTGGAAAGCAAAGCTCACCTGACCCAGATCCAAGGTGAGGTTGACCTGGTTGTACTCCATGCCCAAGGACAGGGTAGGGCTTTGCCACCAACTTTCAGAGCCATCGATGGCGTTGGAGGCTGGGTGTGCCTTCTGAGGGTTGCTGGCATTACAATAGTCACAGGACTGGCCCTGAGGAGGAAAAAAAAGCCCTTTTAGACATTTTCAAGTGATTTTTTTCTTAACAATTTAGCAGAATTGGTGACCAAACAAAGACCATAAGGTTTAGCGAACTCAGCTCGTGAAATTCCCAGAATGTGTTCTGAACACAATGGTAAGTCCTCGTTTTTTTTTTTTCATTTAATTTTAAATCACATTGCCTGCTTAAACCTCTGGAGACTGCGTTTCTAGAACAGAGATTTCTTTCTGTTCCCAACAGCTCTGCTTTCCTTGTCCCATACCACACCTTAGGAGCCTGCTGCATTGGAGATGAAAAGAGGTTTGGACCACAACAAATCCACATTACTCTTTGCAGCTCTGGGTGAGGCCCTAGGGTGCCAAGAGGATCCCTGAGTGGGAGTGTAGCAGGGACTGTGCAGTCAAAGGCCATGGACATTCCAGGGTGGAAGAGGAGGCAGGGTGGAGGAGAAGGCTTTGGTGAGAGCCAGTGAACAGTGAACGGGGATCAGGGAGGCTGTTTGTTGCATGTGGGGAAACCAACATGCGCAGAGGCTTCAGGCCGGCCAGCCTGACTCAGCAGCAAAAGGCAGGTCTCGGTGGGTCAGTAGGAGACGTGGCTGCCTGTGAACTCCAGAGCAAGAAGTCAGAAATCGGCTCAAATGCAGCGGGAATCCCTTTTACCGGGGATGATGTTGGTTTGGTATTATCATCTCATGACTAAATTACTCTTGTGTGTTAGCAGATTCTTTTGATTCTAGCTTCATGGTTTGGCTTTGCACAGTTTACAGCCGGTTATATTTAAGAAGCTGAACCTGGGCCTTTCTTCTATATTTTAATGGCGTCAAAGGTCCACGCTTAACCAGGGCTGGACTTCACACACTGCTGTCAAACTAAACTGTCATGGAGCATAGCTAGGGCTTAGGAGCAGGACAGAGAAGCACACACGCTCACAGCCTCTCTGGAAATGTGCTCTGACCAAAGGGTATCTCTTGCCAGCATCTTCCATGTTAAACGTGAGATTCTCAAAGATAAATTCGGTCCTGGTATCTAACCAAATGTGCGGCCAGATGTTTTCAGTAAGTATCTGATGTTTTTTTCCCCCTGGCGTGAGATGTTTGTGTAGATCCTTTGCCTTTGATTTTGCATGAAGACATTTCTAGGGTTCAGAAGCAGCATCTTAGCCCGACATTTGGTGATGTCAGAGATTCATGGGGCCTGCTCGGCACTCCGTCCCTACAGCCCGACGCCCTGCACGGAAAGAAGCTCCCTCCACTAAGGAGCAACGGGTTCCACAAGCAACTTGTTTTTATGAGCAACTTGTTTTAGAAATAAATTTCTAAAAATTTATTTTTAATAAGGTGCTTAAGTAATAGCTTTTAAAAGCAGAACAACTCCACACTTTTTTTTAAGTATTTTTCCTCCAATGAGGTTAATTTTCACCACTTCTCTCTTATAGACCATCTTACCAGTTTAATTATTTGATGGAGGGATTGAGTTCTTATTCCCCCAGAGTTTAGATTTACATATACTTAAAGGCAACTTTCTTCCAAAAGTGTGGAAGAATATGACTTATATTTATCTGCAGAGAGTAGGTTATGATCCTTTTTTGTGCTGTTCTTGGGATTCTCAGCTCCAGTAGAGCAGTAATTAGAATAAACATTTATAGAATACCTGTATTACAGTAGGCATTGTACACTTCACACTTTCATGCTAGGAATATTCCCATCACCTCTGTATCACAGCTGAAGAACAGGGTGGGGAGGCTGAGTAATTTTCCCAAAAACCACACACTGGTAAACTGTAAACCAGGACCTAAGTCCAGGGTCCTGGGGATAACACGTTAACCACTACCCCGCAGCTCTCGTCCTCCCTCTCACAGCTACACTCCAGTTTATCAGACATCTACAGACAGTCCAGTTCATGCAGCATTTCCTATAGTTTTATACAGTGGCTTTCGCAATAGCCTAAAAGCTCTTATCTCCAAGACCTCCTTTATTTAGAATCATGTAGTCTTTTTTTTTTTTTCCTGTGGTGTGAATGTCCCCACTAAAACTTGTGTTGAACTTGAATTCCTGTTGTAAGATGTAGGAACTTTAGACCTTATAAATGTTGTGATTTGGGGGACAGTTTACTTGTCATGGGGTAGGTTCTTGCTGAAAAGCTTGACCTTAGTCTGATTTCTCTCATTCTTATGTGCATTCACTTGCCTTTCTGCCATATTAAGACAAAACAGATTCTCTCATCACAGGCCAGTACCATGCTCTTGGATTTTCCAGCCTCCAGAACTATGAGCAATAAACTTCTGCTCCTCTGACATGACCAAGGACACAAGCAGGCAGGCCTGTGCTGAATCCATGGCTGCGCTGTTCCCTACATCAACAAGCAGGCCAGCCCCAGGACCGTGGCCCTCCTCCCGCTGTGTGAGCAAGTTGAGAACACACAGAACCGCACCGGACCTACAGCACTCCTCCTCTGGACCTGCAGTCTGCAGCCCCAACACCAGCACACATGACACTAGTGCTGCCCCCACACACAAGGGTGAGACCATCCACCAACTCCACGTCAGCTCTACATTTTGCTGCCCCTTGGCATGGGGCAGCAAAGCAGAGGACATCTGCAAATGGCCTGATCTTGGAAGACAATGTCTGAGGAGAGAAGGGAGCAAAACCAGACTCCATGACCATCAATATTAAGTCTGAGCATTCACTTGAACCCCCACCACCCTGGCTTACATTCAGCAGAGATCATAGGGCTGATCGAGCTTCCTAGCTACCACCATGAGCAAGGACATGTGTCAGCTTGGACAGTTAGTACAGCCTAGAGAGAACGGACAGAGAGGCCTCTGGGCACCTCAATAGGCCATGGGTCCAAAAGCTAGGTGGAGAGAGTCACAGCTGTCTGGATCACAGCCGTGATCAAAACTGTTGGATCAAAACTGCAGATCTTGGGAAAAACTGCTCATTCGAACCATAGACTTCTTTTTTTCTTTGACACTTTTTCCTTTCTTTCTTTCTTTTTTTTACTTTCAACTTTCTTTCATCAGATGTTTTGGAGGGTTGAAGTTTTTTTTAAACCCTTTTCCTCCCCCTTTAGTTTCTTTTCTCTTCTTTGCTCTTTTCTCCTCTCCATTTTCCCTCTTCTTTCTTGTCTTTCATTTTATCTATATTCAATATTTTTAGCCATTAGAGAAATGCAAATTAAACAATACTAAGATAATATCTTACTCCAGAAAAACATGGCTAGCATCAAGACAAAATTTTTTTAAAAGGCATCAAATAATAACAGATGGTGGTGAGGCTGTGGTGAGCAGGGGGATAGGAACCCTTCTACACTGTTGGTGGGAATCTAAACTAGTACAACCACCATGGAGATCAATATGCAGAAACCTCAAAATATTAAAAATAGAAATTCCATTCAGCTTAGATATTCCTCTTCTAGGAATCTTCCCAAAAGAGAAAGTCATCATATTACAGTGATACATGCATACCCATGTTTACAGCAGCACAAATTTATAATAGCCAACAGCCAATATCCCATCCACAGATGAAGAGATAAAGAAAACTTGGTGATTATACACAATGGGGTACTATTCTGTGTAAAGAAGGATAATCATGTGAGACATTTGTAGGTAAATGGATGCACTTCAAGACCATAATCTTAGGTGAAATAAATCAGACACACAAGTGTAAGTCCTGCATTGTTTCTCCTGTGTGAGAAACCCAGAGGGTAAATAAAGAGGTTAATGGAGGACAAACATTGGGAAGTAAGAAGAACATGTTTAACTGCAAGGGGAACAAAGAGAGGGGAGGGGGAAGAGAAGGAAAGGAAAATAAAAGAAAAAAGAATGGAAGGGAAAAATTAAGACAAAGCTTGCATAAATGGGGAGGGAAAGAAGGGTTAAAGGGAATGGAGGGAAATGGGAAAAAAGAAGAATCAAGCTATGTTGTGTTCACATACAAATTCCCCATGATGAGTGTGATCAATGTGTATGACAAATATATACTAATAAAAAATTTTAAACATCAGACACAAGTTTAAGTATTGCACGGTTTCTCTTATATGAAAACCCAAAATATAAATAAAGAATAAAATAAAGGGTAGGTAATAGGAAGTAGGGATCATTTTCAAATGGGAAAGGAATCAAGAGATACAGGGAGGACAGGGAAAGAAGACAAAAGGAAGTCTTAAAAGAATCTAAGAAAAAATGGAAACATTTCTTTCAAATGGTAAGGGGATCAAGAGTTAGGGAGCATGAAGAGATGGAAGGAGGCGGGAACGAAAATGAATTAGACGTGTTATGTACATGTACAAACTCCTCACCATGAGTATAATTTGTATACTACAAACAAGTACTCATAAAAATAATTGTACACAAAAAAATTTTAAATGTTTAAAAAATAAACATAGAAATTCCATTCAATATAGCTATTTCTCTTCTAGGTGTCTCCACAAAAAAGTTAGACATCATATCAGAGTGATGCATGTATACCCATATTTATAGCAGCACAACTCATAATAGCTATGTCTTGGAAGCCACATATATGTCCATCAACAGGTGAGTGCATGAAGAAAAGGTATTTACACACAATGCAGTACTACCCTAACAGAAAGATATACTTGAGTCATTTGTCAAAAAATGGATATACCTTAAGACCATAATGTTAAGTAATATAAATCAGGTGCAAGTTTAAATATCACATGGTTACTCATATAAGAAACCCAAAATGTATATAAAGAGCAAAATAAAAGATATTAGGAAGATAAAATTTCTCAAATGTGAAGGTGATCAAGAAATGGAGGGAGGGGCACCCATGCAAGCTGGGAGGAGAACCAAGAAGCCAGCCCCTTCCTGTGAGCCAACTGGCATGCATGCTGGGAGACGAGAAGAGCCGAGTTCCTTCCCCCTACTCCTAAGTAACCAGTTGATTCAGAGAAATGCAAGCTGAGATGATAGATACTGAAGTAAAAAACAGCTTAATGCTTGTATTGTTTGATTGACTTTGCAGGCCTAA